CGCGATCACCTTTCGATCGCGTCCGTGCCTTTCGAACACGACCGATCGAGCGAGCGATCGAGCGACTTGGACGCGCGCGGATGCGGACGACGCGCGCGCGCGCGGCGGGGCGCCCGCGCGCGCCCGCGCGCGGACGCGGACGCGGGCGAACGACGGGCGCGGGGGCGGTTCGGCGCGATCTGTGTCGATTGCCGGGAGATCCGTCGCTCGTGGTGCACACGAATGTGGCGATGGGGGATAAGAAGCGGGCATTCTTGCTCGCGGCGTCGCGCTCGATCGCGGAGACGCTGAAGAAACCGGAGAGTTACGTCGCGGTGTGCGCGATGGATGAGCTGGATGTGATATGGGGAGGGACGAGCGATCCGTGCGCGCTGTGTCGGGTGACGTCGCTCGGGTCGATAAACTTGGAGAATAACAGAGAGCTGAGCGAGGATCTGTGCGAGTTGTTGGGAGAGTTCGGGATCGATGGAAAGCGAGTGTACATCACGTTCGAAGATATTCCGAGGGAGAACATGGGGTACGATTCGGCGACGTTCGCGGGATGAGACGTCGAGGGAAGGGGACGCGTCGACGAAGAGCGACCGTCGCTTGTAATAAACAGCGAGAAGCGCGCGCGCGGAACGAAGAGCACGGCATCGTCGTCGACACATCAATCGTAGAAATACAAGAACGGCGTCGCGGGCTAAATCATCCGGAGTTTCGTGATCTCGCTCGAGGGCGGGAACGCGTCGACTAACAGGACGTTTGGGTCGTTATTGAGCTCGTCCACGACGCCGTGCCAATAAATCACCATCCCTGGTCCGAATCTGTTGACGTAACCCTGAAATTGCTCCAAACCCTTCTCCACGTGCACGATGGGGTCGCTGAACGACGCCTTGGAGTCGATCCAGTTGACGATTCGTCCACGCACCGCGATCGGCACCTCGAGCTTGATATCCGGCGTCCGCGCGTGCCCGTCCGCCCTCAGATCCCGTTCGGTGACGAACGGGATCCCCTCCGCCCGCAAGAGCTCCTCTAACAAATCTTCGTACTCCTTTCCGGCGCCGTGCCGTAACGTATCCACCACGGGCGACGCCTGATGATCCCACGCCGCGACGCGCTCGACGTCCGCGCGCAACCGACGCATGAGCGTCGCCCCGTACTTCGCCGCCACCGTCCCAATCTCCGGCGTCGCCGGTATCCGCGAATACGGCTCTCTCAATATCCCTCCCACCGCCTTGTGCGACACGCCTAAGAGATGTTCGAGCAACAGGCGCATCATCTGACACGCCGGAAAATCCGCATCCGCCGCGACGCGAAAAATATCCTCTCCCTCCGCGTACCGTCTCGCGTGCGCCGCCACGTTCCGTGCGTGTCTCCCGTGATTCCCCCGTATCTTCCTCGACGCCTCCTGCGCGTACACGCTCACCAGGGCATCGAGCGTGACCTCCGGATGCGCTTCAGCGATGGCGTCAACGTCCGGGTACACATCGCACGGCGTCGACGCCAACGCCTCTCGCACGCCCTCGTATCGCTCCAAACGCATCACCGTCTCCGTCGTCCCGTCCCCGCGCGCGCCCGAGGGCGACGCGCGCGCCCGGGAGTGAGGACGACGCGTCGATCGCTCGATGCGAACGGTCACAGCGCGACGTTCGCGCGTTCGACGCACGCATGGCGATCGAGATCCCGAGCGAGTACGGCTACGTCATCGCCGCCATCGGGGCGTGCTTCGTGCCCCTGAGCTACGGCGCCTACCGCGTGGTCGTGGCGAGGAAGACGTTCGGGGTGAAGTATCCAGATTTGGTGCGTCGACGATGGCATCGCGCGCCCTCGTCGCGCGCGCGCGCGCGCGCGCGCGAGGACGACGCCGCGCGCGCATTGGACGCGATGTCGCCCGCCGCGCTCGATCCCGAACCGCGCGCGAGAGAAACGAGACTGACGTCGCGAGACACGGCGGATGTCGCCGCGCGCAGTACGCGCCGCACGGCCACGAAAAGAAGAAAGAATTCGATTGCGTCCAGCGCGGGCATCAGAACACGCTCGAGCAGTTTCCGACGGTGGCGACGACGGCGATGTGCGCCGGTCTCGCAGTTTCCGACGGTGGCGACGACGGCGATGTGCGCCGGTCTCGCGTTTCCGCGCGCCGCCGCGACGTGTCTCGGATTTTGGATCGTCGGTCGCGTGCTGTACATTCGCGGCTACGCCACGGGGGTTCCGGGCAAGCGCCAATTCGGCGGCATCGTCTCCCACTTGGGCGACATACCGCTCGTCATCATGTGTTTCGTCGCCGGCAAGCGATTCATCGACGCGTGAGCGCGTCGAGGCGCCGTCGCCGTCGCCGCGCCGTCCGCGCCGCCTCGAGTCCCTAGCGTTACGAGTCATGAAGCATTCAACCGTTCTTCACACCGTGATACCGGTGCCACGTGTCCCGCCCGCGCGCCTCGCGGCGTTCGCCCGCGCGCGCCTCGCCCGCGCGCGATGCGTCGGACGGCGAATAATAACAGCAGCGTCACCGATCTCCAAGGTGCGCGCGAGACGAGCGACGGGCGAGCGACGAGCGACGCGCGAGCGGTGGACGATCGTTTGGGGTTGCGCGACGCGCGCGGAGAGAATTTCGTAAAAACGACGACGCGCGAGACGAACTCGAGCGCGCGCGCGATCGGACACTGACGAGAGATGCGATATCGTGCGCGCGTTCGATGCGCAGCGCTCGTGGCGAGCGAGGTGGATGTTGGGGGACGTTCGAGCGGCGATCTTAGCGCGCAGAGCGGCGCGAGCGAAACGCGAGGGGACCGCGTTTTCGTCGTGAGTAACACGTTACCGCTGAAGATGCGGGAAGACGCGGCGGCGGGGAAGATGTATGGACACGCGTACGCGTTTGAGGCGGACGAGGAGAGCATATACGATCAATGTCGTGAAGGCGCGTTGAAGGGTGGGCAATTCGAGGTTGTGATAAACGTCGGACAGTTACCGATGGAGGTGCCGATGGAGATGCAGGATGCGGTGGCGAACGATTTAGAGCGACGGTATAACTGTATGCCGGTGTTTCTGCCAAAGGAGGTGAAGGAAAATTTTTACAACGGGTTCTGCAAGCAGTACATGTGGCCGCTCATGCATTACGTGTTGCCGATGTCGCCGATGGACGCGAGGTTCGAGACGCATCAGTGGCAGGCATACATCGCTTCGAACAAGCGATTCGCGGATAAGTTGATGGAAACGGTGAGCAGTGATGACGATTTGGTGTGGGTGAACGACTATCACCTCATGCTGTTGCCGACGTTTTTGCGAAAGCGTTTCAACGCCGTCAAGTGCGGCTTCTTTTTGCACTGCCCTTTTCCGTCGAGCGAAATCTTTAGGACGACACCGACGCGGGATTTGATCCTGCGCGGACTCTTAAATGCCGACTTCGTCGGGTTTCACACGTTCGATTACGCGCGTCACTTTTTGTCTTGCTGCACTCGTTTACTCGGATTAAACCATAGAATGGAGCGCGGGTCGCTCGTGATAGACAATCACGGCAGGCTCGTCTCGGTGAAAATCTGTCCGACTGGCGTCAAGATATCTCGCTTGCAACAAGTTTTAGATACCGACGTGTGCAGGAATAGACGCCAGGAGCTCCTCAAAGAGGTCGCGGGGCGCAAAATCTTGCTCGGCGTCGATGATTTCGACGAGTTCAAGGGCATAGATCTTAGGATGACTGCGTTTGAGCGCATGCTCGAAGAGCACCCCAGGCTCGCCGAACAGGTGTGTCTCATGCAGACGTGCACCCCGCCTCGCTCGAGTGGAAGGGATATCAATGAGCTGCGCAATACCGTGAATGAGTTGGTGGAGAGGATCAACGCCAAGTATTCGGTGAACGGCGTCCCAGTGCTCAAGTTTGAAATCAAGCCCGTGGCGATTCACGAGCGCATCGCTCTGCACTCTGTAGCAGATGTTTCCGTCGTCACCGCAACGCGGGATGGGATGAACCTCGCTCCGTACGAGTACATCACGTGTCGACAAGGGCCCTCGGACGAGGCGCGGGGCACGGCGGAGGGTTTTTCCCTACCGCGCCAATCCGCCTTGATTATTTCAGAGTTCACGGGGTGCTCACCGTCGCTCTCTGGCGCGCTTCGCGTCAACCCCTGGCACATTCAAGACGTTGCGGATGCGATGTATAAAGCGCTTCAAATGAGCGGTCACGAGCACGAGGCTCGACACGAGAAACACTGGCGATACGTGAGCGAGCATCACGTCGGATTCTGGGCGCAATCCTGTCTGGCTGAGTTACAGCGCGTGACGGAGAAAGCGAACGGCAACAGGTGCTATGGCTTGGGCTTCGGCTTGAACTTCAGAGTCGTCCATCTGAGCTCTCAGTTCCGAAAGCTCGACACGCCCACTGTCGTCGCCGATTATCTCAAGGCGAAGCGGAGAAAGCTCGTTATTGATTACGACGGTACGCTCGTTCCGCTGGTGTCCTACGCACAACCGCCGTCGGCGCATTTATTATCCCTTCTCACCGTTCTCACGAGTGATCAAGCGAACGAGGTGTGCATCGTCTCTGGACGCGAGCGCGGGACCTTGGATAAATGGTTTGGCAACATTCCCAGACTTTGGATGGTCGCGGAACACGGGTATTGGTTCCGGAAGGGCTCGGACGTGGCGTGGAAGGAGCTCGCACCTATCGGCACCGACACGAGCGTTCACGAGTGGAAAGAAACCGTCTTACCGATCCTAGAGCAATACTCGGAGGCTACGGACGGTTCATTCATTCAAACGAAGGAGAGTGCGTACGTCTGGCATTATCGCGACGCCGACCCCGACTTCGGGGCCTGGCAGGCGAAGGAGCTTCTTGACCACCTCGATAGCGTTTTGCACGGCGACGGAGTCGACGTTATCTCTGGCAACGGCACCGTGGAGATCAAGCCCAAGGGCGTGCACAAGGGTCTCGTCATCGACGAGCTCCTCAACGTTGACGAGGCCGCGTCCAACGTCGCCGATTTTGTGCTCGCGGTCGGCGATGATAAATCCGACGAGGACATGTTTAGCGCCGTGGCGACGCACACCGCGCTCCCGCTCTACGCTGGCTCGAGCGTGTACACGTCCACCATCGGTCAAAAGCCGAGCAAGGCCCCCGCGTACCTCGACGACACCGATGACGTGGTCAATCTCTTGCAAACCCTCGCGCAGTACAACGTGTGCCACAGGCACTGATCGACTGATGACGAGCCGACGACGGCGGCGGCGCGAGCTCTCATAGTCACTTTTCACTTTTGTAACGCCAACCGATACTAGGAACCTCCACTTCGCGACTCGCGTGATCGCTCACATGCTCGCGAGAATCGTCACGCGCGTCGTCCATGGCGTGAAGCGTGATGCGTCGTCGTCCGCGATCGCATCGCGACCGACGTCGACGTTTCGGCTGCGATTCCAACTGAGCTCAAAAATCACATCTTCAGCATCCACTCGGTCTTCATCCGATTACTCCGCGCTCACGACGAGAAGGGCGATGGGACGACGCCCGAGACGCGCGCACGCGCATGCGTCGTCGAACGAGTCGTCGGGGGATAAAATCGACTCGAAGTCGAAGATGTTCGAGGCGCTGAAAGGGAGAGACTTTTCAAACGTCCCGCTCGGGACGTTTCGACCGACGCGCGTGGACGAGGCCAAGGCGCAGATCGCCCGGTTCTTAGGTGCACGCATGCGAACAAAGCGCGAGTTGTTTGAAAAGTTAACGAGAGATAAGGGGTACGAGGAGGAGGACGCGATCGAGGCGCTGCGTGCGATGGAAGCGGCGGGCGCGGTGAGCGACGCGGCGTACTCGGAGGCGTTCGCGAGGCACAAGTGGCGCACGGCGAATTGGGCGGCGATGCGAATCAGGCGGTCGTTGCGGGAGAAAGGGGTGAGCGATCGAGATATAGACGTTGGTTTATCGACGGTTTTCGGTGAGGGTGGGTCGATTCGCGTCGATGCGTACGTAGAGGACGAGGAGGAGGATGAGTGGGACGAGGAGGTGGATCTGACGCGCGTACGCTCGGCGCAGCTTCTGCGCGCCGCCCGCGCGCAGTTTAATAGGAACATGCGAGGCGACGCGCAAGCGCGCGTGCGGCGACTCATGTCGTGGCTCGAACGTCGGGGGCACAGTGGACCGGTGGTCATGGATATCGTGAAGGTGTTGAAAAGCGAGTTGGATCAAGGCTACGACGACGAGGACGACGCCTTTCGCGCATATTAGGAACGAAATGTAATCGGGTATAGGATAGAATGTAGCTTATTCACGGCGCTCCCGTCTTTGCAGCCTTTGCCGCTTGCAGCAAACCTCCGAGCTCGAGCGGGACACCCGTGAGCGCGACGATCAAGCCGAACCCGGCGAACATGTACGCGAAGGTCCCGACGACGTTGATGCAGAACACCGTGATCGCGAACGCCCACTTCTTATCGTTATTCGGCGCGTACTTTCGGAAAAACTCGACAATCTTATCCGTTCCCGGCGAGATGGCCACCGAGAGCGCCATCCGCGCCGGCCTCAAGAAGTTTTGAATCATCCAAAATCCAAAGTACGAGCTCGCGAACGTCTTCATCGACAACGAGCTCGTCAACGGACTCGCCCCGGTCGTCTTCACCGCCGTGTACGTCGCCAGCATGAGCGACGAGACGTAGAACACGTTGCTGACGAACCCGTACGAGAGCAAAGCCGCGCTACCGAGGCTCGCGATCTTCTTCTTATCGATCTTCGTCGCCGCGCGCCACCACGCCGCGACGCGCCGCGCGAGCGTCTCTTCGCTCGGTGACTCCGATGGCGTCTCCGACGCGTCCGCGGACGCGCGCGCGGCGACGGGACGTCGATGACACCCGAACGCGTCTCTCGCGTCCCGCGTCGTGCGCGCGAACGACGACGCGAGGGCGATGACGACGACGCGGCTTGGCGTCCCAGAGCGCGCGCGACGCGCCGAGCTCGTTCGCGTCGACGCGCGGTTCGCTCGCGGCGCGAGCACGCTCGCGGCTATGGCTCGCATGCTACGTGCTCGTCGACGACGTTCGACGCGCGCGGGCGCCGGTGAGTGCGGGGCGGTGGGCGAAAAGCGATGCGTTCGTCGTCGTGACAGTTGCGCGAGTCATAGCCGCGCGGGCTTCACGGTGAACATTCGCGGGTCATCGACGTCGAGATCGCGGTAAAAGTTGCCCTGCACAAAGAGACCCTGTGGGTATTCCCGTCGCGCCCACGTCGCGCGATTCCTGAACTCCTTCGCGTTCTTCACGACGAAGAGGACGCGTCCCGGTCCCATGACGGAGCCGGGCTTGAGCGTCCACGTCCATCCACCGGGCGTGGAGACGATCCAATCGCTGACGTCCACGGCGAATCCGTTCGGATTGCTCAGCTTGACGTACGATTCGTCGCCAGAGCGTTGGGCGTGTGAGACGTACACGCGCGCGTTCGATGGTATCGAGGGCGGAATCATGTAACTGTACTGCTCGAACAACTGTTTTCGCCTGGTTGGGACGATGACGTCGAGCAGGTTGTTCACGCCTTGATCGATGGCGCGCCCGGCGCCGACGCCCCACTTCTTGCTGTCTCTGAGTGCGTCTTTTCGAATTAGATTGACCTTTCGGCGGACGTAATCATCCACGAATGAGGTGGCCAGGATTTGATCCATCAAAGTACGAAGCCGTGTGAGGTACATCTCCTTGACGGGCCAGACGCTCAGCATGACGTCAATTAAAACGTTGTAAGTGCTTCGTGGATCCTGTTCGGGACGACTCCCATCCCAGTAAAAGATGTCTTGCGGGTGGTTGCGGTCGCAGTAGAGCGGCGAGTTGAACTTTTCGCAGCTTAAGATACAGTACAGGTTTGCCGTCGCCGCGCACTCGCTGGGCTTGCACAAAGATGTCCCGTACCTCTTGTCGCTTGGAAAGATATCCTCCACGTCCCAGGGTATGCGAGTCCACTCTCCCGTCCAATCTCGATGCATGTAGTAGTTCTTCGTGCATCGATCGGCGCCCAGCATGAGCGTTTGGGCCGCCATTTCATTCACGAGGGATGGCAAATTGAGATGGTCGAATAAAAGGTAAGCCTCGCCCTCGGGATTTCTCCTCACTCTCTCAATCACGTCATTCGTGAGTTGCCACAGGTCGTCCCATTTATCGCGCGGCTTCGAAGCTTTGCGATAAATTTCCGGACAGCCATCGTTCATCCACTCGCGGCGGTAGTCCGGCGTGGCGTAAGGGCACGGTAAGCTTGGGTCGCCGGCGCGAAGGTTACTGTACTTCCAGTTTACCGCCTTGTACAGAGAGTAACCGTCTCCAGTAAAGAGATTGTTCCGCTTTAAGAACCGCTTATCGACCTGTTCGATGAGGGACCACAGACCGTAATACTCGTTGTTCACGCGCACGTGCACGTGTCGAGTCAACGGCGCCGGAACGCCCGCTCGTCTCAAAATTGCAAATCCCAAGTTCTCCCGCATGTACGTCTCCTCTCCCGGCTCCTGGTAGTGCGAATTGAGATTAATCTCGCTCACTCGACTCATGTTCGCGTTCAATTTGAATCGCCTTCGTCCGAAATCGAGCTTGAACTTGCGCTTCGGCCAGTTCGCCGCCGAGAGTTCAACGCCGATGACGGCTTCGTTCCTGTTCGAGCCGCGACGACGCATGAACACGTCGTCGTAGTACCGACCCTCGAAATACACCGCGACCCGCTCACCCGCATCCGTGGTAATTTTATCGTAATCAGGCGTCCAAACGTGCAAGATCGGCAGCGGCGTCTCCTCCTTCACCCGTCGCTCCAGCGCCGCGCCGCGCCACGCGCTCGTCGCCCGCGCCGTCCCCGCCGCGACTGAAACCTTCACCCGCACCCGCTCGCCCTCCGGCGCCCCGTTCGTATCGCACCATCCAGTAAATCGCATCCGTCCACGCTCGTCGTTTCCATCGTATCGCATGCCCGTCGTCCGTTCCGCCCCCCACCCGAGCGCGCACGTCGCGCGCGCCGCCGTCGCCGCCCCCCCCCCCTCCACGACCGCGCGCACCTCCACGGCGTCCCCCGAGCCCAGGCCCGCGCCCGAGGCCACGTCCACGTCCACCGTGATCGCTCCCGCGCCCGTTCCCGTCCCCAGCAGCGCGCACGTCACCACCACCAGCGCCGCGCCCAGACCTCGACCCTCGTTCGCACGACGCCCTCGCCGCGGCCGCGCACCGCGCGCGCGCGCGTCCATCCCGCGCGTCGCGCGCGGTGCCGACGATGTAAATTATTCGTCGTCGATCGCGCGCGCGGACGACGCGAACGGGCGCGCGCGGACGACGCGCGGCGACGTCGAGGCGTCGTCGCGGTCGAGGGTCGAAAGTCGCGCGGGCGAGGTAACGTCGACGCCGACAGTCTCGGACGCGGCGCGCGCGCGCGCGCGGGGCGGGAGATCGGCGGGGGTTAATTTACCGCGACGATCGCGCGCGCGGACGCCGGGCGCGACGGCGGGGGGCGACCGGGAGACGATCGAGGACGCGACGGCGCGAGACGTGGGCGCGACGGTGGTCATGGTGCGGTGCGCGGGCGACGCGTGGCGTGGCGTCGCGTGTGCTCGGTCCGGACGCCGATGGACGGTGGGCTCGGGTGGACGTGGACGTGGGCGCGATGACTGACGACGTGGGATCGCGAACGGACGCGACCGACGCAGAGACGGAAGCAGAAGCCGTCGCGGACGGATTTCGGCGGATTGGACGGCGGCGGCGACGAACGCGCGGAGGACGGCGCGAACGTGCGCGATGTGATGGTCCCGAACGCGGTGGTGACGTTCGATGGGATAAAATCAGAGGGTGGCGGGCGGATGGAGCACTCGAAGGCGCATCCGAGGATGTTAAAGAGTGCGTGGCGCGCCGAATCGAGATTCGGTTTCGGAAATCGGCGTTTCCGAAACGCGCGCGGGACGACGGAGACGTAGCGGACTGACGGGTGATTGGCGTTCGCGATCGCGATTGTAGGTAACGCGACGAGTCACGTGTGGCCGCTCGGTGCGATTGCCGAGCTCATCGATAAGTGCGTGACTCGATCGAGCCGATTTGTTCTCGAAGAGCGCTCGCGCTTGATTTTGAGACGATTTCGGAGCGCGAGAGGACTGACGAGCGACCGCCGCGGATTCGCGACGCACAGCGCGCAGGACGCCGAGTGCGGTGCCACAGCAGTACACGTGGATGTTATCGATTTAGACGTGCACTTCGTGAAGAACCCCGACAATTATCGCGCCATCATCGTTCAGGATGACGGCGTAGGAATGAATCGACGCCTGCTTCACGGGATGCTCTCCTTCGGGTTCAGCGACAAGGAACACAAGTCTGGGAACGTCGGGAGATTTGGTATCGGGTTCAAGTCTGGATCGATGCGATTGGCAAAGGATGTGCTTATTTTCACTAAGCGTGAAGGTTATGCACACGCGGCGTTTCTCTCGCAGTCCTTCTTGGATGGCGAGGGTTACGACGACATTCTCATTCCGATGTTTTCATGGAGACACGAGCGCGACGCAGTGACGGGGAAAATGGTGTACGTCGCAACCGAGCCCGTTGACACAAAGAAGTGGGATGATCATATGTCCGTGATTTTTAAGTATTCCTTCGCCAGGACGGAGGCGGATCTCTTGAAACAGTTGGACAAGATTTCGGGGAAACACGGCACCCGCATCGTGCTCTTCAACCTGCGTGACCCGCCAGAACTGGATTGGAGCTTCACGGATGATATTCGTCTCGTCGGGGCATTTCATGATAGTGGAGATATGAGTGGGTCGAGACGCGACGGCGGGCGCGGACCTGTGTTTCAACAAACGCGCGAAGGTCAGCAGCAGTCGCTCGACGTGCCGGAGGATTACAGTCTTCGAGCGTACATGGAGATTCTCTACTTAGAGCCGCGGTGCACATTCACTCTGCGCGGCAAGAAGGTCGAAACGCGCCATCCGATCACATCTATGCTTAAGGAAGAGTACTATATATTTCCACCATACAAACCGAGAGGTGCGGAGCACTCCCCCTTCATCTTTCACATGGGCTACGCGAAGGAAAGCACTTCTCACTCGAAGAAGTGTGGTTTCCATATTTACAACAAGAACCGATTGATTCGATTGTACCAGCGATTTGGATCGCAGTTGCAGGCAAACACTATGATGAAGGATCTTCTCGGCGTCATCGAAGCGGACGCGCTGGAGCCGACGCACAATAAGCAGGCATTCAGGGAGGTTGACGTGCTGTACCAGAAATTCAAGAAGCAAATCGTTGAGTGTATGAAAGATTACTACTTTGGCATTCAGACGAAACGCTTCGCTGGTGGAGGAGGACGAAAAGATGATGGTCGACGCACGAAAAGCAAGAAGGCGACGAAGCGTAAAAAAGTGCTCCGAGGGAAGAAGCCGAACGGATCCGGTGCGGTGAGTTCAGATGAAAACGGCGACGCCGACAACGAGCAAGTTGAGCCACGTCAAACATCAGCGCGTAGAGGTCGCTCCGCGACGCCCCAGTCGCGAATGCAGTCGATTCATCGCATCATTATGACCAACAAAAATGCGTATATGTTTCTCAAACCCGTCGATCCAGTTTATTGGGAGATTCCCGATTACTTCGACGTGATTAAAAATCCGATGGACCTCGGGACAATCATGACCAAACTTGAGAAACGTGAGTACGAAAACCAGCCGAGTGCGTACGCAGCGGACGTTCGCCTCGTGTGGTCAAACGCGATGACGTACAACAAAGAAGAAGAACCCGTGTATAAGATGGCGCGCATCATGTCGAGAGAGTTTGAGTATCAGTGGTCGTCAAAATTTTTAGAACTTGACCTCACCTCCACGAAGATAGAGGGTGCAGCCGAAGAAGAGGAGGAGTCTGATGAAGACGAGTACGAAGATGTCAAATCTCCCGCGTCTGTTGTAGAACGGCCGAGTAGAAAACGTCAGATTGTTGAAGCTATGGGCGACGGAGAAGCGAAGGAAGGCAAGCTCCCTGAAAGTCGAAACACACCTAGACTGTTGCAGAACAACGTGGTGGCATCCTCCGCATCCGATAAGAGGCACGAAAAACCCGGTGTGCCGATGCGATTCGTTCGTGTTCCGAATGCACTGACGTCTATCATGGACGAAAGTTACTTCAAGAACATTGAGGACACCTTCTTGCGACTAGAGCAGGAACTCGCCGAGGAGCGGGCAATGAACGCGCGCATCATTGACGAAAATCTCAAGCGAGGCGTGAACAACTCGGAAACGGTGAGTGTAGAAGAATTAGAAACATATGCAGATGAACTCGCGAGATTACGCGAGCGCGTTAAAGTGTACGAAGACTTGCTCGAGGAAGAGCGTGGGAGAACTCGCAACCTTGAGGAGCGAATCGAGAAGCTTAAGGCTGAGAAGCAGGCGCTAAAAGAGAAGAGGAACAAGAGTAAATCTGGTGGGGGAAGTGGAGGTAGAGAAGGAGGTTGGCGCACTAGGCGTGCGACCGGAGTCCCGGCGATTGACGAAGAAACTGAGAAATTGTACCAGTACTGCGAGAGGAATTGTCCGTACGAAGTCAACGTTGGTGAAGTTTTGAAGGATTGGAAAGTGCATATTTTTGAGCGTAAAGGAGGCATTCACGCTGGTGCGTTTTATAACGAGTATGTCTCTCCGGATGGCACAAAGTGCCGCTCGATGAAAGAGGTGGTGGCGTATCTCACCAACGGTACGATCGCAAAGGATCAAGCACCGATGGTTGAGGTAAAGGCTGATCCGAAAGTCACCGATACGACCGCGGTTCCTCAGACGCAACCGCCAGAAGAACGTGAGGCAGAGCGGACAGTGACGGCATTCTCGAACGAAATGTTTCCAAAGACGGAGTCACCGACAGGAGTGTCCGCTGAGGCGAGAGAACAGGCTCCCGAGCAGGCGCCACCGAAAGCACCGTCCCCCGCCACATTCGACACCGAACAGCCCGTCGACGCCCTCTCAATGGATGTTCACGCCGTCACTGCGCCCATGGACGTGGACACCGTGATCATAAATTAAATAGAAAACGTGTACAGTACTCGTCATATCTAATTCCAACAAACCGAGCGACTCGTACCGCTTTGGCATCACACCGCGTCCGCCCCTCATGTCTGGCGACGATCGATCGTCGTCCGCCGCGACCGCATCGACGCCCTTCGCACATCTAACTTTCACACCAGGCGCGCGCGTGCGATCAAAGAGCGTGAACGCGAGTGAGGGGACGCGCGGTGACTTTCAGGAGGATTGTCTGAGCTGTCGAGTAATCGGCACCTCCGCGTGCGTTCTCGGGGCGTCCATGGTGTTCAGGGAGGTCTTTCGAGAACCTCGACGGCCGTTGATGCATCGAGGGGCGATGGGGGCGTTCGCGGGGGCATTTCTCGCGCTCGGGGCGTATCGCGCGGTGATTTAGGCGAAGCGAACAACGAGGCGCGGTCACGTGCGCGCGCGCGCGACGCGGTGGACGTCAACGGGTCGAGATGCGTGCGTCACTCGCGTTGATGAGTGGATAAGTATTGAAGTAGTGTGTCTTTCGAACGCGACGGCGATGCGACGGCGTCGATTCCGCCGAGCGCGCGCTTCGGCGACGATTTCAAACGTCGCCGCCGAAGACGGGCGTCGTCCTCGATCGAACGTTCCTGTAAAGTAGTGATGGTCGTGTTAAATTAACGCGACGCGTTGTACCGCGCGTCCTCGATTCCACGCTCGAAGTGGCGCATCGAGCGCGAACGACGTCGAACGGATCGATCGCGCGAACGCCACACCCTCGCGCGGTGCCCAGACTTCCTCTCGGAGGCACGAAAATGATTGTAACACTACATAGCTCTACTCCTTCTTCTTTCGGCATTCGGGCCACTTCGAGAGATCCATGTGCTTTATCGGAGCGAACGTCTTCCTGTGGTACACGCACGGGCCGTACTTGTCGATCGCCGCCATGTGAGCCTTGGTTCCGTATCCTTTGTGGTCCTTGAAGCCGTACATCGGAAACTCTTTATCAATCTCAACCATCATCCTGTCCCGGGTCACCTTGGCAATGATAGACGCGGCCGCGATCGCGACATTCTTCGCGTCACCTTTGACGATCGCCTCCGCCTTACCCTCGAGCGGTTTTGGGACTCGATTACCGTCTATGAGTACCCAATCGACGTTCGGCACGTCCAGCGCGCTTCGCGTCATCGCCTCCATCGTGCACTCCAAGATGTTTATCTCATCGATGCGATCCTGATCGATCACACACACCCCGTACTCGATCTCTTTGTTTGCCATCAGTTCCTCGAAGATCTCCTCTCGGCCCTCCTCGGTGAGCTGTTTCGAGTCGTTCACGCAGTCGACGACGCAATCCTTCGGAACGAAGCACGCGGCGGCCACCACCGGTCCCGCCAGCGGCCCTCTTCCAGCCTCATCGACCCCAACGACGCGGTGTCTCCCGGCGTCCCAGTGTTTCTTCTCGTGCGAGCGATCCGGTCCGGGCCCGGTTTGTTTCTTCGCCCGCTTCGCCGGAGACGCGTCCAAAGTCTCCGGCTTTCGCGTCTCGCGCCCGCTCTTCGTCTTCGTCGTCTTCGCCTTGGCGGTCGTCTTCGACGCGGTCTTCGACACGTCTTCGTCCGTCGCGTTCGTCGTCTTGGCGACGCGAGAGACCTCGGCGTCGAGCGTTTTATTTGCGCCCATGTTTACACCTCGTTGTAAAAATGCGCCGAGACCCATCTGCGTCTTCGGTTTAACCGCGCCGGCGGCGGTGATCTTGTTCGTGGACATCGCGTTAGTGATCGTCAATCGAGCGCAGAGGCGCGGAAGCATGCGCTGGAATGAGGTTTTGTGGATCAACGCGCGTCTGTCGGCGGCGCGTTTGAAATTATTATGAAGTGTGAAGTGTCTCTACAGCGCCTAGGATTCGTTTACTCGTCGCGCGCGCGTCGCGAATCGCCGATGTTAAGATCTTTATGCTTTTTCACAGCGCGGATGCTCACGGTTGCCCAACCGGGGCTTGCATTTGCGCCATGACGACCCACGAGGCGGCGATGAGACCGAAGGTGCACCAGCCCGCCACGTCCCACCAGAAGTCACTCTCGCCCTCACCCTTACCCGCGGCGCCGTAGCTGTACCCCTGACCACCGCCCCCGTACGCCCCCTGCGCCGCCGCCTGCTCCGCGAGCTGACGCTGCAACTCGGCGTGCAAACCAGGCGCCTTATCCGTCATCTCCAGCGCTTTCTTGTAAATCTCATTCGTCGGCTCCTCAGCCAGCGCCCTGCGAAAGCACGATTTCGCCTCCTCGAAGTACCGCATCGCCTCCCTCGCGTCGGGAAATAAAAACCCTTGACTTGTCAGCGCGTTTCCGAGGCACCACAGCGCGTCGTGCTTCTTCGGATTGATCGCGAGCGCCTGCTCAAACTTTTCCACCGCGTCCTCGATCATGTCCACCGCCTCGGGCCCTTGACGAAAGTGCGCGAGCTCTAACAGGGCGCCACCCCACCGGGTCAACACCTGGGCATCTCGAGGATTTTGTTGATGCTCGATCTCGGCGCGCTGTCGCGCGTCCTCGAAGAAGAGCATGCGCTCGACCTCTTCTCTCGGTAAACCTTCGGACATGATTTGATTTCGGCGCAGATCTCTCGCGCGTGCGCTCGGTTCGCGGTGATTTCACGACCGATCGGCGTCACGCGCGCGGATACGGCGTGCGGTGCGTCGAACGCGCGGTCACACGCGGTCGAGCGATGGGTCGTCGCGTCGCGGTGTGACGTTTCCGCGCTCGATGTTTTTGGACCTAACGTTTTGGGACATTTTGCGCACGAATGACTCCAGTGCGACGCGCGCGTCGACGGTGCGACGCGCGCGAGGGTGCGTTCGCGAGACACGAGCATCGAGGAATCATCGCGCGCGGTCGTGGCCGTCGGAGCGGGCGCGCGCGAGGTGAAAACGTCACCTTGACGCATCGATGGCGGTGCTCCTGGAAACATCCAAGGGCAACGTCGTGATCGATCTCCTGTGCGACGACGCCCCGAGGACGTGCCTGAACTTTTTAAAGCTCTGTAAGATTCGGTATTACGACCACTGTAAGTTTTTCGACGTGCAGAAGGATTTCGTGTGCCAGACGGGGGACCCGACGAATTCGGGCGACGGCGGCGCGTCGGTGTTCGGGTTGTTGGCGAAGGATGATGAAAAGCTTCGGTATTTTGAGGATGAGATCCACGCGACGAGAAAACACGATAAGATTGGAACGGTGAGCATGGCGCCGAGAGGGAGGAACGGGAACGCGTCGCAGTTTGTGATTACGACGAGAGAGGGCGCGGTGGACGCGCTCGACGGGACGCGGACGATTTTCGGCGAGGTGAGCGAGGGATTAGACGTTTTGAGGGCGATCAACGGGGTGTACGTCGACGAGAACGGACGCCCGTGGCAGAACGTTAGGATTAAGCGGACGATCGTGTTGGATGATCCGTTCGATGACCCGCCGGGATTGGAAGCGTTGATCCCCAGCGGGACGCCGCCGAGGAACGAAGAGGCGGAGGACGATAGATTAGAGGATGATTTCGACGTCGAAGCTGAGTTAAACAAGGATGCGTCAGTGGTTGAGGAGGAGAAGCGCGATAGAGAGGCACACAATCGAGCGGTCGTGCTCGAGCTCATCGGAGATCTCCCAGACGCCGAGGCGAAGCCGCCCGAGGAGGGACTCTTCGTGTGCAAGCTCAATCCGGTGACCACGGACGAGGACTTGGAGATCATCTTCAGCCGATTCGGTAAGGTGCTATCATGCGACGTCATTCGAGATTTTAAAACGGGCGCGAGTCTCGGGTACGCGTTCGTGAACTTTGAGCACAGACACGAAGCCGAAGCGGCGTACTTCAAGATGGACAACGTCTTGATCGACGACAGACGCGTCCACGTAGACTTCTCGCAGTCAATGCACCATCTCTGGAAGAACTTTAAGCGCTTCGGGAAGAACGGTGGGACATCCGAGGATCACGACGCGGCGGAGGGTAAGGTATCGAGTAGAGGCATGAAGCGCACGTTTCAAGGTTCCGGACGCACGACGTTTGAGCTCAAGTCAAACGCCATGGGACACATCAGCGGCGGCAACGCCGCCATGGCCATGGCTGAGGATAAGAGGGATCGCGATCGCGATAAAGGACGAACGCGCGATCGATCGAGGGATAGGGACAGAGAGCACAAGCGCGACCGTTCGAGGGATAGGGGCAGAGAGCACAAGCGCGATCGATCGAGAGACAAGGATCGCAAGCGCGATCGATCGAGGGACAGAGACAGAGACAGAGATAGAGACAGGGATAGGGACAGGGATCGTAAACGCGATCGATCGCGATCGCGGGATCGAGATAGAGACAAGAAGCGGGATAGAAAACGATCTCGCGATAGAGACGAGCGCGACCGACGTTGAATGATGAATCACTTTTTGCGCGCTCATAAAAAAGTCTTACAGTTTCGATCGATGCGTCTCGGCTTTGAACGCTCTCTCGTGCATGATGCGTTCGCACATGACCTCAGCGAGGCGATAGACGTCCCTCCACGCGCAGTCCCAAGCCTCAATTTTGTCGATTCTCGGATTCGCTCGGCGGGCGTCCTTTATGACCTCATCGATTCGCTGACACAGATCGAGCTCGATTTCTGATTTCACCCCAGTCGCGCTCTCGAGATCGTTCTGTTGAAACGCGGTGAAGCAATCTCGCGCGAGTTTTTGCGAGAGAATGCGACTGTCGCCCTCGGCAAACTTGCAGCACTGAAGAAAATCAGTGTTGTCGAATCCGGTACCGCTCATGAGGGCGTACGATCCCACCTCTTGCTTTAACCGAAACGCGAGATCGATGGCGGTCTCCACAGCCTTGATCTTCGCCACGGCGATCGCCTGCGTCAAAGCAGCGCTCGGGATGGTTTTCGCGCGTAAATGCGTACACAACTCTTTTTCACACCCCGCGACGTAGGCATCCAACCTATCGAGCGTCGCGTATCCCTCTTGATACAGCGCGCGTAACTGCGGGACGTCGGAGAGCGCGGGCGACGCCCCGCGCATGGTGCACATCTTTTGATCCGAGTACCTCTTCGTGTCGTCGAGAAGCCTTCGCACGAACACCAACGCGGCTTGCGCGACGGCGACGCGTCCGGTGTACAATCGCTGCCCGATCATGTCCATCGTTCGAACGCCCTCCTTCTTCGTCACGTACTCGCCCGTCTTTCGATCGACGCCGCCGTATTTGCTCAACAACGCGTCGTGCGGCACCGCGACGTCATCGAATCGAATCCACGCGTTATCGAGATCATTACCCGTCGTCTTCTTCCCCATATCCCCGACGCTCACCCCTCGCGTCAACCGTCGCGTCATCCCCTGTCGCAGTCGCACTAGAAATCCGTGCGGTCCCCTCGATTTCCCGCCGACGCGCAGATCCGCAACCACCACCGCGACGTCCGCCACCAACCCCTGCGATATCCAATTCTTCACCCCACCGTCTCCGCCGCCACTATTTATCACGAAAACCTTCCGCGCGTGATCCCAATCCGCCGTCGTCCGCACCACCAACCCGCTGTTCACGCCCGCCAGGCGTTCCGTGAGCGCGAAACACCCCAACTCCCCGCGCGTCGCCATCCCTCGCAATCGCGCCCGCTGCGCGCGCGACCCGAGGGCGACGACCGTGCCCGCGCACAGGTTATAGTGCACGGTGAACCGGATCCAGAATCCAGGCCCCAGGTCGTTCGCTCGCAGCGCCATCGCGCGGTGCGCGGCGAAGAACAATTCCGGATTCCGTTCCACATCCTCCCCTCGCACCGCGTCCGCGCGCACGAGCGCGCGCAGGGCGCGAGACGATCGCGCGGGGGACATATCTCTCGACAGCGACGCCGCGTGCGCGCGGACGACGTCCATGTCGCGCGGCGTCGAGGGCGGACGCGCCGAGCGCGCGGCGCCGTCGGGTTTGGTCGTCTCCGTAGTGTACGCGCATATACCCCATGTGCGATAACCGACGCGGTGTCCACGCAGTCGCACGGCGCCTAAACCCTACGTCCCTCGACCGCGGTCCCGACGTGGACGCACACGGTCGTTTTGCGACGATTATACGACGCGCGCGCGCGATCTCCGAATATTCCGTGACGTGGCGGCGATGGATTCGTCCGCGAGTCACGACTCGACGATTGAGGGACTCGTGGACGACTCCGCGCGCGCCATCGCGCGACGCCCGTCGCCCGACGTCGCGCGCCGGAGAACGCGCGCGCGCGGTGGCGGCGATGCCGTCGCGCGCGACGGCGCGTGAGGCCCCGCGCGGATGCGCGCGCGCCGGGCGATGGCGCGCGCGACGGCGACGGGATGATGTTTCAAAAAAGGCGCGCGCGACGAGGTCGTGTAGAGGGCGCGCGCGCGCCCTGGACGCGATCGCCGACCTCGGCGCGGGCGCGGCGACGCACGGGACGTTGATGGATGACGCCGCGCGCGTCGGCGCGCTCGGCGCGCTCGCGTTCGCGGCGACGGTGTTCATGTGGGAACGCGCGTGGCGCGAGCGGGTGTTCGGCGCGCGGACGAGCGCGACGACGACGACGACGCGCGAGACGATGGTGCACGGCGTGGACGTGTCGAGGTACGCGATTTTTGATGAACCGGAGGTGCGCAGGGCGTTGGGATTCGCGACGGGGTGGCACGGCGGACGACGGAGGAAAAATGGGGAGACGTACGCGAGGCACTGCGTGGAATCCGCGAAGATTTTGGCGGCGAATTTGCCGGGGACGGGACCGAAGAGTCGAGACGCGGTCGTCGCGTGTCTGTTGCACGATGTTTTGGACGACACGGGGTGTTCGGAGGAGACGCTCAGGGAGGCGTTCGGGCCGGGGGTGTACAATCTCGTCGTGCAGGTTTCGCGCGTGGGATCGATGAATCAGGTGATTCGGCGTCGAAGACGCGATTTGCCAGAGAGCGACGAGAGAAACAAACTCAGCGAAGAAGATCTGACGCAGTTGCGTAAGATTTTGTTGCTCATCGTTCGCGACCCGAGAGTCTTTTTGATTAAAATTGCCGATCGTTTGCACAATATGCGAACGTTGTACGCGATTTCGAGTGAGCAGAAGGCGATGGACATCGCAAACGAGACGTTGCGCGTGTGGTGCTCGCTCGCCGAGAAGCTTGGGATGTGGGCGATCAAGTCGGAGCTCGAGGATTTGTGTTTCGCTGTTTTAGAGCCAGACAATTTTGACTCTGTGCGAGAGGCTCGCGACAAGATGTGGCGTCCCATCTATGAGGACGAGGACGAGGGACTCGACTCGGAAAATTCGTACGGGTGGCTGTCAAAGAGTTTCGGTGTTTCCAAGCTTCCGTTTTTCAACGCGGAAGAAACGAATGCAAGCGGTTCGTTCGACTCGGACGACTCGCCGAGCGTGCAATACACCCAGGCGCAGCTGGCGATGAAGATGCGCATCGAGAGCATTCCTTCGTTTGATTGGATTTCGACTCGAGAAGGAGATTCGTTGCGATACGACCGAATGAGCGAGCTCCCGGAGAGCATCGCGGCGTCCTTAAACACGTTAGATGAAGTCCGCGGACGTATTTGGAGCGAACTCTTGATGGATGGATACGACAGCGATTTGAACATCTCCATGTCTTCGAGGCTCAAGAGTGCGTACAGCACACATCAGAAGATGAAGCGCAAGGGGCTTCCGTTCAATCGCGTGTGCGACGCACGCGCGATGCGCATCGTCGTCGGTGATCCCTCCGCGTCCGCCGGTGGCACAGAGAGAGAAGTCGACGCATGCTACGCCTTGCTTGATTTGATTCACAAAATGTACCGGCCGATTGAGGGTGAATACGATGATTACATCATCAACCCCAAACAGACCGGGTATAGATCCCTGCACACCGCCGTGAACGGGCCAGATGGTGCTCCCTTTGAGGTGCAAGTGCGCACGCGTTCGATGCATGACTCTGCTGAGTTCGGAATGGCCGCGCAGTGGATGTACAAGGGTAAGGCAACTTACGCATCAAAATCGTACCAGGATGCGGCACTCACGGACGACGTTCCGGATGTCGGTGCAGGTGTTCAATTGGTTTCGTCGGGACGTCGAAGCTGCGGAGTGGTGATTCAGTCTGGCGGTTCGCGCATGCTCGTCGCCGAGCCAAAACAAGCGCAATGGAGCGACGTCGTCGCTTGGATGTCAGAGGGTTATCACAAGCAGTTGTTGGAAGAAGTCCGAGAGTCTGGTCTCATGCTCGCGCGTCAAGGCACGAGTGAATTTTTCATCTCTGAGTTCTGCTACTGCGTCGACCAACGCTGGCACCGAGTGGACAACTTGGGTCACAAGACGCGCGTCACGGCTGAAATCGTCGCCAAACGCCTTGAAATGAGCAATGCTGAGTTCGGAGAAGAGTTCGGAGAAGAAATGGACGATATCGACGCGCGTATTCGTCAGCTTCAAACCATCGCCGGGGATCTCTTGAACGACTCCACCGCGAGCAGCATTCTCCAGGAGACGGAGCTCGGTAACTGGTCGGCAACGGTGCAGGCAATCAAAAAGCGTGAGCGAGCCATGCAGGCGCGCCAGTCCCAGGCCGAACGCGAGAAGAGATGGCGAACCGGTGCCGAGGAAGCGCCGGCGCTGAGCATTCTCATGGCAAGCAGCGCGTTGAAGGCTAAGCCGGCGGCGGGAATTTTCCAAACCGAGGAGGCGGCAAAATTTGAAGCAGAAGTCGCCCTCAGCAGCCCCAAAGCCAACCACCCAAACATTGACGTCGAGGACGGTGTCATGATCATCACTTGGACCGACAATTACCCCGAGCTTCATAGCATCAAACGAGGCTCCACCGTGGCGGAGATCCGTGAGATCATCGACAAGATCCCGGGTGAGAAGCGACTCGCTCCGCCGAAAGTCGAATCCGATGAGAGCGTGAACGTCAACATGGTCATGGTCCCGCCGACGACCACGCTCAAGGACGGCGACATGATTTTCCTAGACAAAAAGACCCCGATGCAGATGGAGCGGTGATTTTTGTGCCCTTCATCCGCCCTTCATCGGAGGGATGTTTGTTGTAACTTGTACCTTTTTGTTCTGTACGCTCGCCGCCCGAACCGTCCCGACGCGACCGAAGAGTCACCCCTCACTCTTCTACGCCGCGCTCGACATGCGGCGCGCGATACGTCCGGTGACCTTTGTCGCCGTCGCACGAGCGTGCACCGAGCGCGCGCGCTTCCGAGCGCGTCGCCCGAGCGCGTCGCTCATGAAAACCGCGAAATCTCTCTCGTCGCGCTCTGAGGTCGCGCTGTGTCGCGCCGCGCGCGCACCGTCGTCGCCGTCGACGCTTCATGTCTCTATGCGTTCGTCGAGCCCGCTCGCGGCGCGATCGAACGTGCTCGCGCGCGGAAGTTCGACGAATGCGACGCGCTCGACGAGCGACGCGAGCGCGCTCGGGTTGATCGATTACCTGAACGATTCCTGGACCGCCTGGGAGGCCACGGAGAGCTCGGTGAAGATTTTAGAGGCGGCCGGGTACGTTCGGATCAGTGAGCACGCGGAGTGGAGCGATTTGAGAGCCGGTGGGAAGTATTACGTGACGCGGAATCAGAGCGCGCTCGTGGCGTTCGCCGTGGGCGGGAAGTACGCGCCGGGTAACGGATTTAACGTCATCGCGGCGCACACCGACTCGCCGTGTCCGAAGCTGAAACCAGTGACGAAGATTAAGAAGGGTGGGTTCATGCAGGTCGGAGTGCAGACTTACGGTGGGGGTCTTTGGCACACGTGGTTCGATCGAGACCTCAGCGTGGCGGGACGGGTCCTGGTGCGACGAGGCGAAAAGCTCTCGCATGAACTCGTGCGCGTTGATCGACCGATCATTCGCATTCCGACTTTAGCGATTCATCTCGATCGTGAGATATCCACGAACGGGTTCAAGCCGAACACGGAGACGAACTTTGCACCGATTTTGGCGACGGCCATCAGGGGCGAGCTCGAGACGACGACGGAGGGCGCGGCGCACCACGCGCTCTTGCTTTCCGTCCTCGCCGAGGAGCTCGGATGTAAACCGGACGACATCGCTGATTTCGAGTTGAACGTGTGCGACACGCAGCCGTCCGTGATCGGCGGCGCCGCGCGGGAGTTCATATTTTCGGGACGTTTGGACAACTTGGCATCGAGCTACTGCGGCGTGCAAGCGCTCGTCGCGGCAACGAGCGACGCGAAGCTTGCCAACCAGCCCGGAGTGCACATGGTTGCCCTTTTCGATAACGAAGAGGTCGGAAGCAACTCATACTACGGCGGTGCATCGCCGATGATGTTCGATTCCATCAAGCGCGCCGCCAAGGCGTTAAGTAAGTCCGCCCCGGGCGAAGGCGGCGAGGGATTGGTCGAGCGCACGATTCGCAACTCGTTCCTCGTGAGCGCCGACATGGCGCACGCCTTGCACCCGAACTACATGGATAAGCATGAGGAGAACCATCAACCTAAGATGCACAAGGGAATGGTGGTAAAGCACAACGCGAACCAGCGATACGCGACGACCGCCGTCACCGGATACCTCTTCCGCGAGTGCGCAAAGATGGAGAACGTCCCGACGCAAGATTTCGTCGTGCGCAATGACATGGGATGTGGATCCACAATCGGTCCCATCGTAGCCGCCGGAGTCGGCATCCGCACCGTCGACGTCGGAATCCCGCAGCTCAGTATGCACTCCGTGCGAGAGATGTGCGGCGTCGAGGACATTGATATCTGCTTGCGTCACTTTACCGCGTTTTATGACAACTTCGCAAAGGTTGATTCTACCGTGACCGTGGACTAAAATGTCTAGGATCATGCGACTTATTTCTATTGACGGTCAATCGTCGTGTAACACTAGCTTCATTTTTCGACGAAGTGTTTCGCAGTCAAAACTGTTCGTATTGATTTACAACGTTCTCGGCAACATTCCTACTCCACTTCGGCATAAGACTCAATATTTCTGTTCGAGCGGAAGCGTGATATTGAGATCTCGTTGACCCAAACGTGCGACAGACACGAGGGGTCGTCCCAGTTCAAATTTTTTGGAGCCGAGACGTGCGCCTGCAAAAACTTCTTATTCACCTGCACCGCCAGTCTCGACGTGGCCTGGACATCGGGCCAATCTGGCCAACCCGCGTCGAGCGCCACCGCACGATTCGCCGAGGTGTCCAAGACAAAGCTCTGTCGCGCGCCGACGTCTGGCACCAGAGTCACCACAAAGTCGCTGTGCACGAGCGCCGGATGTCGCTGATACAACACCAGATCCGCACCGTACTGTAACCCGCTCCTCGGAAGCCACCCGAGCATCCTGAAGTGCATCGTTGCCGCGCACTTCATCGCGAACGCGTGTCCGCAGTCGCGTCGAAACCGTCGCCAGAGCGTCCCGAGATCCATGTCGCACGTCCCCAACCCGAGCTTCACCTCCATCTCTCGTCCCTCAATCACCTCGCTCACGCACAGGCATCCGAGGACGCTCGCGACGTAATACGCATCCTCACAGCACATCCGAATCACCAGCTCGATTCCGCTCCCGTTCGGTCGCAACGGAATGCCTCGTTCCGTACCCGCGCGCGCCCGTCTCCCCAGGCACGTCTGCTCCAACACGTACGCCAACCTTCGCGTCGCCCCGATCCACACCTGTCCCCGCGCGTGCGTTCCATGAATCACACCGTGTTCCCGCACCAGTTCATCGATCAGCGTCTTCGGCCGCGCGTGTTTATGCGCGATCCTTCGTTTTCCTCGCTTCCACTTCGGCGCCTCCCGCGGCGTCGCCATTCGCGTTCACCGCCGAATTCAAGTGATCCCTGAGCACCGCCTCCTCCAGCTGCAGGTTGAGCAATCGTCCGAACAAGTACTGTCGCGTCTCTCGCAGGGACGTCTGTTCGCGACGCAGCGCGTCGAGCACGCGCTCGTACCCGGGTTTACCCTGGAGTCTGAATCGCTCGCGGTGGGATTCCGCGCGCGCCGCGTCGTACGACGTCGCGTTCTCAACCTCTGGCTCGGAATCGGACGACGACGACGACGCGGAGGACGGGTCCGAGGTGGCGCGCGCGCGAGGTTTGCGCGAGCTCGATGGGAACATCCCCGAGAGGCGGGATGTGCGGACGCGGCGCGCGAGACGCGACGGGACGTCGACGCGACCGTGCGCTCGGGAATCGATCGAACGCGGGCGCGTGAAATCGTGCTCGCGGTCGATCGATCACGGACGAAGGCGCGCGGGGTGCGACGTGCGCTTTGACGTTTCATCGGACGCGCGTGACGCGGACGCGGACGCGTTCGAACGCGTTCGAACGCGCGCGCACCCATCGATGCCGTCGAGTTTAAATCCCCGAGATCGATCCGGTGCCACCGCCCGTGGCCGTCGGGCGCTCACCCGGGAGGTAGCCGTATTTCGCTCGAAACGCGCGCTCGTACCGCGCGCGTTGCTTCGCCCGCTTCGTCTCCGGGTTCAACGACCCCCCGGGTCGCTTGTACTCCCACAGCGCCCACGCGCCGACGACGAGCAAGATCACCAATCCCCAGACGCTGGGCGTGCCCTCACCCCCGGGGTTCCATCCGTCGTCCCACGATTCTTCGTCGTCGTCGTCCCCCGGCGGCGCGCCGTCGCCGCCGTACCCGAATCGTCGCTGTTCATCCGTCTCCATCCGCAGCGGCGCCGCCCCGGGGCCGCGCCCCGCGCTCGAGCCGCCCTTCAAGGGAAACCCTCGCGGGGCGTCCGCGCCGTCCGCGCGCTCGCTCGCGCGCGGCGCGACGCGCGCGCGTTGTCTTCTCGAACGCTTCTTCATGCGCGCATCGTCGACGCGCGTCGCCGCGCCAACGCGCGCGACGCCGCGCGCGATCGCGCACAGGTCCATCACCGCTCGCGCGCCCGTCTCTGTCGCGCGCGCGCGTCCGAGGCGTCGCCGTGTGCGTCTCGACCGATCGCATCGATGAGGTTTTCGTGAAGAGATTCATGAATCATGAATCATGAATCATGATTCGCCCGCGACCGCACCGCGCGACGCGCACGGGGACGCGCACGGGGACGATGCTCGCGCGGTGCGCGCGCGTGACGTCGTCGACGTCGACGCGACCGCGCGGACGCGGACGCGGTGGGAGACACGGATCGCGCGGAATGGATCTCGCGCGATGTCGACGGACGACGACGACGCGGGCGCTCCCGGTGGCGCTGGCGGACGTGAGCGCGTCGATGGGTGGATTGGAGACGGCGCGCGCGATCGTGGGCGCGGCGACGATCGCGTTGGTGATGTTCCAAGGACCGAAGGGGGACGGGGTGGTGAACTCGCTCAACGAGGGACGGGTCTTCGGACGGGCGCGGGAGGCGAAGAGCGCGGTGGATTACGTGACGTATGGATTGATCGGTGGGTTCATCGCGCTGAGCGCGGTGCTCGCGGCGAGTGGGTGAGGCGTGGGGAGGAATACTTGAGGTTGTGATGTACACGCGAGGAGCGAGCGCTCGCGCCGTTTCGCTATTACGCTAGAATAAATCATTTTGTTTTTTGGGTTTTTCGTCGCGGTTTCGCGTCCTCGATCGGTTTTTTCTTCGCCTCTGGGGTGTACTGCGATACGTCGAGCGCGGCGAAAGCCTCGTCGTCGTCGGAGTCGTCCATGGTGAGGGTCGGTTGGCGTTCGGGCGACGCCGGGGCGTTGAATTCGCCGTCGCCGTAATCGACGACGCGGTCCTCGAGCGGATTCGTCGCGCGTCGAAGCAAGAGCTCGTTCATGATCTCGTCGTTTGATTTTCGATTCGTCAGCTTCGCCACGGCGTCGCCGAGACGTTTGGATCGGTACTTGGCGACGCGACCGCCCACGGCGGCTGTCGTCTCGAAGAAACTATCGATGCGTCTCTGCGCGTCTCGCTCCTCCCACGCCTTCATCATCGGCTCGAGCACTTGATCCGTCGCGTCGCGCGTCCATGCGAAATTTTTCACGCAATACAGACGGAGAAGATCCACGTCGGGTTTTCCCCACTCGAACGGCTCCTCGCTTCGGTCGACGGATGGGTTTTGATACGCCTTGACGACTTCGATTGATGGGAAATTTTCGGGAACGTCCCAGCTCTTCTTCAGCGAGCGATGCTTCTCCTTGAACGCTTCGGCGAGAGACTGCTCGGTGCCATCGTCGGAGATATTCTTCGACTTGGACGGCGACGGATTGGGGAGCAAGTGATCGGGGACCATGGTGAGTTCCTCGAGATCGACCCACTCCTTGAACGCCTTGCTCGCCTCGATGACGTCGCCGCGAAACGCGCTGACGATTTCGAGCGCGTTCACGATCCCAATCCCGGACACGCCCTCGGTGTAATCGCTCCCGAGGAGCAAGGCGAGCTGGATGAAACGATTTCGATCGAGACCGATATCTTTTCTGATGCGATCCGCCGAGTAGACTTCGCAATACTTTTTGTCCTGGAAAAAGTTTCTGTACACGAGCGACGCGCCGAACAGGAAGACGTCGCTGTCGTCCGTAATAACGGCGTCGACGAGCTTCTGTTCGTTGAGGTACGCGCACTGTGCCTCGGCTTCTTGCGGGGCGATGATGTACGGAATGCCGAAGAGCGTGAGTAGCTCTTGCACGTCGCGATACATCTCATCAGTGACTTGCTCGGCGGCTTTCGTCGCCTGGCGATGCTCGAGTTCCAACATTTGTCGCTCCTCCTCAACCTCGCGAATCATCTTTTCCACTCGCGCGTGCTTCGCTGCTTCCTCCGCCTCTCGTGCGGCGGCTATCCACGCCGCGTCATCCTCGTCGTCCGTCTCCGATTCCTCCGCGAGCACCGCCGCTGGTTCTTCGCTCGCCGTCGGTTTCGGCGACGGCTCGACGACGTCCTCTTTCAGGCTCATCGCGATCGCCGCTTTCAGCCGTTCTTCGCCATCGACCGTTTCTTCTTCTTCTAATTTTACATCGTCCCGTTCTGTCTCAATCTTCGGAATCGGAATCAATTCGGCCGTCGCCGTCGCGACGCTCATCGCAATCGCGCGCTGCAACTGCTCGTTCGCGTCGTCCTCGTTTAACGGAGCCAGAGCCGCTTCGTCGCCGCGAGCGCCGAGGGCGACGGCGGCGTCGATGTCACCCTCGTCCTCGATGACGACGGCGTCGTCGCCCTGCAGTGCCTCGTCCTCGGCGTCCCACCCACCCAAGTTGCGACCTTTGAGGAATCCGTGACTGACCGAGTACACGTTCTTACGTCTGAGCGCGGACGACGGCGTGGCTCCCTCCTCGCCCTCCAGCGCTCCCTCCTCGACGTTGCCATCCGCATCGTTTTCTGTCGTTTCGTCTTGAATCACATCGCCGTCCCCGGCATCGTCGACGACGGCGTCCGCGTTCGCACCGCCCGCGCTGGGGAGAAGTAATTTCGCCGGCGACGGCGTCTCTTCCTCTACGTCTTCCCACTCTTCGTCGCCGTCGTCGTCGTCCGGGAGGTCGTCTGGATTCGCAAACAGCGGATCCTTCGCCGCGGTCTTGATGTTTTCCGTTGAGAATGAAATCTGCAAATCCATCGTCGACGGCGCGTCGTTCACCACGATCGGCGTCTCCGCGACGGATTTACTCACCTGCGGCGCCGGAAGCGTCGGGTGCAGCGTCGTGAGTAAGAACTGTTCTTGCGGTGCGATGAGCGCCGCCTGCGTGCGCGCTCGCCCCGTGCGCACGCCACTCAGTTGATTCGACCCGAACGCGCCCGCGTCGAGCGCCGCGGGTGACGGCGAGGGAAGCGCCAACGCGCGCTCCGCGCGCGCTCCATCGAGCGACGACGGTCCAGAGTAAATAAACTCACGATTATCCTGCGCCGCCACGCGCTTGGACGTCGACGGATCGCTCGCGTCCGATCTTTGCATCACCGCATCAATCCTCCGCTTGAGCTTCGTCCCCTTGAGGTACGTCTCGAGCTGTAACCGACTAAACTCCTGCATCTTTCCCGACGCCTCGGCGAAATGCTCTCGATTATCCGCCATCCGCCTATCCCTAATCTTCGCGATCACCTCCAGCCGCACCGAGGGCGGAAGCGCGCTCAGCACCTCGGGATCGATATCATCTCCCTCCGGCACGAACGCGTCCCACGCCTCCTCGGATTCCGACGCCTCCGTCTCCCGCTCCGATTCCGTCGCGTCCGCCGCCGCCGCCGCGTCCGCCGCCGCCGCGTCCGCCCCTCGCGCCGTCTCCCCCCCCCACCCCCCACACCCGCCCTCGACACCATCACCATCACCACCGCCGCCCACGTCCACCTCGCTTTCCAACGCCCGTCGCGTCAACGCGTTCAACAACACCCGCTCCGCCGCCCGTCGCGCCCGCGCGCTCGCCCGCGCGCGCCCGCGCCGCCGCGCCGCCGTCGTCCGTCGCTTCAACCCCGGCGCGGCGCCGTCGAAGACGAACACGGGCGTGATCCCGTGATGGAGCAACCGCGCGATGCGTCGGAAGAACCCACGCGCGGGCGCCGCCGCGGCGTCGTCG